TCTATCTATCTATCTATCTATCTATCTATCTATCTATCTATCTATCTCTATACACACACACACACACACACACACACACATATAAACCTAATTAAATTCTGCTGCGTATAAGGTACACCGTTGATCTAATTGTTGTTCTGTCCAAACCCCAGCATAAAACAAATGATTAAAAACAACATAAACAAATATAAAACTGATTATGCCTTAAGATTGTTTATGTCAAGTTAATTGTCCCAATAAACACGTTTATGACTTTGGTTGAAGAGTTATTATTTAGAAAGAAAGTGAAATCCTTGAATTGTTTCAGATCATTTTGAATTAAAATGGACATGTTTTTAAGGTCTGTGGACCCAAGTACTTAGTCTTGTTATTTTGTTTCTGCTAATATCTGAATAAAGCCTTACAATATTTCACTGTGTACACCTTTGGTTTGATAAAATGAGAACTGTCAGTGCTGCCCAAGGTGCTTTTAGTCAACACTGCTGATCATCCCCATGTTAAAGACCAGTAATAAGCTGTTGAAATACAGAGTGAGAGTTCTTTTGGAAAGAAGAGTGGGTATTGTACAAATTGGCATCAACATGATTGAAAATCGTCTAAAGTGAAGATGGTGTAAAAAGGGTTGAGTGTTGCTTTCCCTGCATCGGCTATATTTCAGTTTGACTGCAGCAGCAGCACCTCCTGCAGAGCTGAGGTCTGAAGATGATGGAGAACCTCTCCACAAATCTTGTGGGCGAGCAGCCAAGCCGGCATCGCCTTGAAAACGAGATGAAGGGCGGATCACGACCTTGCTAATGTAACTACTCAGTCTAGTACTGATGACTGCTAGATGCTGATTAGAAAGAGACTTGCATTTATTCCACTATCACACAGGATTGATTTATGAGCTATGCTGCACCACTTTTTCCATACACTACATACACCAGTGTGCACACTCAAGCTTACACAGGCTGTATACTTGTCTGATGCAACATATTTCATACATACAGAGGCAGCTTAAGTTACACAAACACACATACAGACACATGGGACTGTTTGCCACAAGGCCGCTCTTTCCCGGAGTGCTCAGATGTAGAAAAATTGTCTTTGAAATTGAGCTCTTCAGCTAACAGAGCACGACAAAGCCTTGGGAAATGGCTTTGCAATCAACCTCCGCTCACACCTTTCCCCTCGCTCTCTCATAGACTCTCCTGTGATTGCTACTGTTAACATACACGTACATTGGAACACAAGAGGAATGTGCTGAGGTTAAATCCTCTATTAATAATGGCATGTTTAATGTTATACACAAAGCCTCCTGCCTCTTTTTTCACACACACTCTGCCATGAAAATGCACAGGAGCTCCAGGAAACCAGCTCCTAGCTCTGACGCTATAACATAGTGAAGATCACAGCTTATTAACCTCCATATGTCTCACTCCTCCCATCTCTGATCACAATTCAAACACTAATGGGTATATTTCTATTTCATCACCTAACTCTAACAGAGACAGGCCCAAGTACAACAGCCTTGTTACTTTGCAGAGCTTCACAAAATGCCTTTACAATTACACACCACACTCTCGTGCCAACACATGTCAACCACTGGCTCCCTGTCAAAGCCAGAATTGAATTCAAAATCATACTTCTAACCTACAAAGCTCTCAACAACCTAGCTCCATCTTATATTACAGATCTTATTGTTCCAAATTTTCCTAACAGAGCACTTCACTCTCAGACTGCAGGTTTACTTGCAGTTCCTAGAGTTTCCAAAACCAGAATGTCAGAGTCAGAGTCAGAGTTTCTTTATTGTCATTCGCACCTCATGTGGTACATGTGGTGGAGCGAAATTATGTGCACGGGGTCCCAGTTACATCCAACAATAAAATGTATAAGAAAAACAGTAATAACATCTAAGATATGAACTAAGAAAAACATCAACTAAATATACACTAAGCACTCATAACATAAAACATTGAACATCGGCACAAACATGAACATGAGTCTGTGAGCAGATGTGCACGCATGAACACCTCAACATTGAAACAGATCAGCAGCAACATGAAACAGATCAGCAGCAACATGATATGGTTTTTCACAGTGATTATTCTAGTTAGAGATTCATGAGTCTAACAGCCTCAGGGTAGAAGCTGTTCCTCAGTCTAGTGG